CAATATAAAACTGGAGAATAAATAACCAATATGCAGCTATGGACATTTTTATAGTAATGGATATTTGAAAATAGCAGCAACATCAGAGATGTGCAAAATGACAGCAGCAGGTTATTTAACTGACTAAGGTTTATATCATTACATATGATTTTATTTGTTCATGTTCCCGGTGGTTGGAACCTTTATTCCACTTTGGATTCTTGTGAGTTTAGTCTTTGTCACTTTAAAATAAAAAATAAATAAATAAACAAACAGTTTTGAAAACTTAGGTTTTCATTCTTTTCCTGCTTTGTGTTTCAACTTTCACAGTTGCTAAGCAACAGAGCATACAGTGGTAAAACCCGCCGAAGGGTAGACCTGTTCGAATTCACAACCAAAACTCTTCCGGTCTCCTTATTTTCACGGACTTCGAAGGATCCAGTCTAGGTAGACCGCGTCCTTGGAGAATGCAGCCCAGGATTTCGAACAGATCTAACCTGCTTGTTTTTTTCTCTTTTTATCCCGTTATTCTGCCTGCCTGAACCTGTTTCCCATCCTTGGATTCCCTGGCTTTGACCCTCTGCTTCTTTGACCACGATTATCTGGGGTCCATTTCATGAAGCAGGATTAACTAATTCAGATTCAAATCCGCACTCTAAATTGATGTAGCCTAAAGTCGGGAACTCCGAATGTTCGGATTCACAATGGCTGCTATGAATTAGTTCAATCAATTTTAACAAGGTCCACTCAGAGTTAGAGCACAGGTATGAAAAGCCATTATCAGGGGAGCACCGATTTGACGAGTCACCATGACAACAGGAAACAGGAAGTGCCTATTTCACCCTCCTGGAACAAGAGATTTTATGCAGAAATGCAAAAAAAAAATAAAATAAGAGAATGTGTTTATTAAAAGAAAGAGAAACAGTGCTGCAGCTACAAAGAAGACGGTGACAAAGGAGAAGATTGTTTCTTGAATTAATGTTTAAGTTTATATGAAGTGGTTGTATACGACAGACCATTTTTACATTTATTAAAAGCACTTCTCTGTTTTGTTCCATTTGTAGATAACTAAAATAGGATTTTTCCTGATCAAAATCCCATTCATAGACCTAACTGTAATAACATATTTTCTAATATACATTTCTATAGCAGAAACTGAATTTTAGAAAAAACTAGCATGACTTAGTTTTACATATCTAGAAATGTTCTTACATTTTAAGTGGCCATTCTGACATTTATCAGCTTGACTGAAAATGTATTTATGATATCTGAAAAAAAAATTTTTTTTTTATAATTCAAATAATACAAACGCCTACCAGTAATATTAGGAATATCGAGATCTGAAATTAATTTCTAGACCTCAAGAATAGACCAAATCTGCATTTAATAGATTATATTTTAATTAATGGCAAAAAATAAATAAATACCGCCCAAAGCCTCAAAACATCTATTTTGCCAATCTTCTCCGTTGCTCAATGATGGATGATATTTCTTTATAGTAAATTAGGATTTCTTTATAACTCTTTATAATTTTTGAGAAACATTATAAAAAAATCTCACCACATATGTTATTACATGCTTCAATCATTATTTTTAAAGTTAACTTATATTTCTTATTTTCAGTGATTTGTGGTTTGAAATACTTTTAATCCTTATCCTCTAGGATCCAATCCAATAGGGATTTACAGCAAATACCTCAAGGCACACTAAAATCAGAACCGATTTACATTAATAAAAAAAAATGTCACTCCGTTCCAATGATGAGAATAATATTGGTAGATATGATTGACCAAAGTTGGTAATGCTGATATGACATAACTAAAACCTTAGCTGCACTTTGATGTTAAAAACTAAAGGCTGATTTAGACTCAGCATGTGTGTCACAGTAAACGCAAATGTGCCCCCACCCCCTCTGCAGACACTCTAGTACACCTCCAAAATTGTGGGTGACGCAGACACTGCCGCAGACAGGAGGCCTCTGATTGGTCAAATCTACATCTGCTCTACACTATGCATATTTCCTGTTTGGTACCTTACCGGCTTTTTTTTGTTTGTGGAAAACGGTTGGTGAAGTTGGACCAGCTAGAAAAGCAAGGTGTGCAAGAACACTGGAACTCTTTCTCCACATCCCCGCTCTTTTTGGCCCTCATGTCCCTCCGTTGTTGCACAAACTTGCCCCCACTTCCTCACCGCCTCGGCTGTATCTAGACCAACCGCTAGTTCATGATTGTCCCTCTTGCATTGTGGTGTGGAATAACATAGGGAAGACCATGCTTGAATATTGGGCATAAATCAAAAACATCTGCAACACGCTCACTGCGACACACTGCTGCGGAAGTATAACCAGCCCTTAACACTTCAGTTTGCTGATAGTACATCCAAGGGCTGTGTAAATGTGGCAGTAATGGTTTTCTTTTTCATTCAAATCCATTGTAATCTGCTGGGATTAATTAAGTCAACAAATGAGACACAGTTTACGTTAATAGTTACATTTAACTAAACTTAATCTGTTTACAATGAGACTATACATTGGATTTCCTGTAGAGTCATTCCCCTTAGTAATGTCACAAACCAATTACCACTCTCCCGCTGCAATTTAATTTCAAATCAAAAACATGTTTAGTATTCAGTAATTCTGAGTTAAGAGTAGCAAAGGAAAGCATATACCTGAAGATCCGATATGACACATAAGCAGGAAGGTAAAAAGCCTCTTCATCATGTTTTATAACTGGTGGATAAGAACATTGCTGAAATCAGAAAAGAAAGAACTATAATTATTTTCAGCATTTCTTCAGTTCAAAACAATATAAACGTTTAGGGCCACTCAGTGCAGCTTTTCTAGTAAAAGTTTTGAGAAGAAGAGCTTTATGGATGGAACTATACAGAGGGCTTCTCTAAATGATATGTAAATGAGCCTCATTATGACTCCCAGCAGAAGACAGAGGTAAGAAGGGCTATCTTCAGATTGAGACTTCTCCAATGGAACCTTTTCAAGACTTGGACTTTCCAAAAAAAAAAAAAAAGAAAGAAAATCAGTTTTCCATGTCACGTCTGACATACACTATATTGCCAAAAGTATTTGCTCACCC